TACAGATTATGGAGGCTAAATTTGTAATCTAATCATAAAATAAAACGATAGGTAAAACATGAACTGGAATGTAAAGAAGACAGCGAGTTGTCCTTTTAGCAAATTCCAGACGACTCGTCGTAATTTGTAAAGCCACATTGTAGACGACGTGTCAGCAACGATTCTGAAGAATGACGTCATCGTTGCCTCAACTCAAGCAAAGGGTTTCTTTCTTCATGAAACAAAATATAATGACACGTCGAATCAAGTCCATCCAATAGCCGGCCGGTGGATTACCACGTGTCGTCCTCTTCTTCTGACGTGTCACTTTGGTTATAGAACAACCGACATGTATCTAATTTCTCACTATTTTTCACCACAAAAATTTCAACAAGTAGAAAACAACAGGAAGAAATGAAACTAAACAATGATATCTATACTGACGTCTCATAAAATTCTCTCCACACACTTTAAATATCTTGGTAGGTATATTTTTAATTTTTGTTTATTTTAATTTTAAAATTTTTATAACGATCATTTTGAGCTCCATTTACAAAGTTCTAAATTTACATGAAAATTAATTTTATAAATTTAGTATGTGAAGTATACCATACTTAAATCATGATAGAAAAAAAAATAGATAAAAATGAAAACAAAAAGATCAAAACAATCCTTTTTTAAAAGTTCATAAACTAAAATTATCATCACATGTGACTTATTGGTTCATAGTAAATTGAGAGGGAAGGACTTCAAACTTATGATAACCACCTACATTATTTATTAATTCATATGCAGTCTCAATACCACTAAATTAATGTTTTTTTCAAGTACCACTAAAATAACGTTGAAAATAGTAAAAAGTTAAAATAAATATTCTAAAAATAAATCAAAAGGTGAAAATTTATAGAGACGAAAATAGTATTTAAACTCGCAGTGCAACTCCAAAACATGCATCTCCCAAATGGTGGGCGTTGGGACTAGCGATCGAGGTTCTGCATAGAATAATTAAAGCCCACCACTAAAATAAATCATCTTATTCACGAGGACAAGAAGAGTTTATAAATCCTACGCACCAACCCAAAACAATAATAATATGCTTTATTTTGTCTTCTTAGTTGATTAGATGGACCGAGACAATTAAAATAAAATAGTGTTTGATTTATAGCTTTTATAAAGTTAATTAATTATTTATGCAGAAGAAAATTTAAGCTCCGGAAACTATAAAATTCCCAACATTTAGCACACCAATATCTAAAAACCGTGGTTCTCTTGTCACTCAATCAATTTGAGAGCATATGGTTAGAATATTAATTAATTATGATTTAACTAAAAAACAGAGAAGAAACTTGATCACCACTTACCCACTTAAGCTTTGAGTGCATTACACCTCAATTCTTTGTCAATTACCACTTCCATTTATTTCACGTACACCAATTGGAAAACATTTTCAGTACACTTAAATTTCAAGAATCCAAAGACCAGTTCTTTACGGCTTCATCCCAATCCCACCCATAACAACCAAATTTGAAATTTCTATCTATTATCTCTATTTTATCATTCCTGAAATTAAAGAGATTTTGGCTCAGAGCCCATAGTTGGGAGATTTGGGCCACTCTGAAGGCCCATTTCATGGGAAAAGGTTTTGGTTTTTGCTAGATTATTATATAGGTTATGTTATAAAGCATATATGAATGAAGTTGTTGAAGCCTCCTGAAATTGAGTTTGTAAATGTTAGAAATTATAAAGATTGGATTTTAGTAATGTTTGGCTTTTAGGGAGCAATAACATTTGCCACAGAAATGCACCAGATTTGATGGCAACAATTCCACCTCACTCTCTCTATGGTATTATTCATTTAGGGCTTTTGCAAATATTTGACTACGTCTAATACCCCTTTTTGAATCTCTCTTCTACCCTTTGCCTCCAAATATGCACAAGTTTACTTAAATAGCAACACTCCCCTCAATTGTTTAGTGAGTTAAAAAGAAAACTTTGCATTAATTTTTCATAAAAATTAACGTCTCATGATTGATGACAATAACCACGATCAGTAAGATTTAATGAAACTATAGGATTAAAATAAAATTTTTAAGAGTATATGATCCGAATTTATATAAATGGTAAGTCTGATCCGCCGCCTCAGAGAAAATTATTATATCTAATTTAACTTTAGATCATTTGTTGTGTCTTATGCCATTAATTGTTCGAATGAATCATTAGGTCATTTGATGTTCCATTGTTCATGCACAATATGCTTATGGAATCATCTTCACTACTCTTTATCAGTCTCTCATCTACCCTATTGTGAGATTTTTCTCGTTGAGGCCCCTCCTCTTCGGATAGCAGTAGGTCCATTCTCTAGTAAAATAGTGTTGGTGGAATCTTTGGTTGGAAAGAAACAATCGATTTTTCTTGGACAAATTATGTCCTTGTGCTCGCCTTTAGGAAGATGTTAAAGCTCTGACTTCTACTCGTTCTCAAAATCACATCCTTTTGTAATGATGATATTTCTACCATTTCGTTTAATTGGAATACTTCCATATAGCTTCTTTCTTTTATAGGCATGTTTCTCACATGCCTCCTAAATGAAATGTTTTCTTTAAAAAGAAAAAATAGTGTTGTAATATGCAGGAGAACCAATGAGGAATCTAATTTAACTCTATTAGGATGAGTTTGTAAAATTAGTGTTGTATTATTTAAAGCATAAATGTAAACAAACCAAATTATTCAATTAATTTATTGTCAAAATTCTCTTGGACCAATTCCGTATAGAATATAATTTAATGTACATTTGAGAAAGATACCACAAATGACTGAAAATTTTCAGTACTTGTAATATAAAACTCATTTCATGCCCTGAGTGATCTAATCAGAAAAATCATGGCAGATTACAAAAGGAAGAGGAATGTTGAGTATGCAAATTGTTCTGACTATATATTAATCCTATATTTCCATAGTGGTACTCAAAATCCTTCATAGGTTTGTTTTAGATTTCATCCAAAATTTCTCGTACCAGTAGATAGGGCATTGTTCACATTTCCGAACAATCCTCTTTTCAAACAATTTAACACACAATTTCTTCTGATTTCATAGTCATACTATTTTTCTCGTCCACAATGTTCTTTTAAATAGGCAAGTCATCTATATTTGTCATGTCAACATCAAAAATTTGCTCTTATCTAAGTCAATTTCTCCTCTAATATCACCCAACTATCTCTAGAGCGCATCACATGTTCTTGTAAACCTCTCTTTGTTGTATTATTATTAAACAAATCGTCCCTCTCAAACCATTTGGCACCTGGACATAGTTTTGATTCCACTAATTAAGATAACCGATCATCCTCTCTCTATATATTTCTACAAATGTATGATATTGTTTATTTGAGTTTAAATCGTTATATCTTTGCTTTAGTTTCCACCCAAAAAGACCTCACATACATCGAAAAATTGCATGCTTTTATCTTTTGGCCAACTAATTCTTTTCTACTTATACCATAGATCTATATTGTTGGCATTCCCGACAGTAAATTCCTCATATTATATGTGATTTTTTTTAAAAAAAATTCATATACTCTTTTTAAAAAAAAAACAAAATCACCATTATTTCAAAAGGTATATGAGAAACATACAACAAAGAGAGGCTAAATGAAAGCGCTCCAACTTAAAGAGAGGGTGGAAATGTCATAATTACAAAAGAACTTTGATTTAGATGATCAAGAGGAAGCAGTCGTTCTTATATCATCTCATAGAAGAGCTGCAAGTCTATATCTATCTGAAAAGAGACGGTTGTTTCTCTCGAGCCAAATAAACCAAAGGATAGAGCAAAAACCATTGCACCAAAGCACATTTCCGATGTTTGAGAGAGTGATATTTATGCATTCCCGTATGAAGGCATCAACACCAGCAGGAAGAACGATGTATATCGTGAAGATCTCGAAGAAACGCATCCATAGGAAGGTTGAAATATATGGGCAATGGAGAAATAAATTTCATGTACTCTTCATACCATTAAATTCGTGTATATATATAGGATTTATCATAAGTATATCATCACTAATTAGTATAAGATTAAATTTACAAAGCAACGGCATATGAAGCTGAGGTCCACAATGAATCATTACTTCTTATCGAGTACAGATATATCTGAGCTAAGGAAGGCAATAAGTCACTCATTGGCTGGCTGATGTATATGAAAATGCAAATGAAAATGACACATTATTTGGCATGTAAGATAACCTTCATAGCTTGAAATTAAAAATGGAGCAGTCAAAGAATCTTTGACGTGACATTCAGTCTCCTGCTCAGAAAAAAATTAAAAAAAAAATTCACCTTTTACATGGAGAGGTAATTAAAGCAGGCTAAAGAAAAGTACTTCATTTACGGCCTCTCCTCTTTTCTGTCTCTCTAGGCGTACCAATTTATGCTTAATACTCTCCCATTTGAATGTTTTTGAAGCTCTAATTTGTGAGCACTGAGTCCTCTCTCTGTCACTTCCTTTTTCAAAAATAATTCGATAAGTTGCTTTCATTCTATCCTCAATCACGTGAGATGTCTCCATTTCTTCTGGGTTGTGCTCAATATCTCTATCCCCCTCCTTAATTAACTCTCTCATCATAATTCCATACTGTCATTTCAACACCCCAATTAATCAAGATTTCATCTTTCAAATCCCTAAACAAATTAAAACCCTTCTCCCTCAACCTTTCATATCACAACACAGACATTCATTTCTACTATTTATACTTTTTCTCTTCGTCACAATCCTAAAAAAAGGTTAAGTTAAGAGATTGTAGATTCGAATTTCTACCTGAACCATTTAGATTACACCAACACGTGGTGTAATATTCTCAAAAAGAAGAAAAAGGGAAAAGAAAAGAACTTATCATATATTTCTCTTCTCCATCATTTTCTCTTTCTTTGTTCCAACACCCAGAATTTGGATTCCTCTCTTATATCAGATTCCCAAACGATCCTTCATTTTTCTTTTGAGGCTATAAAAATATATATCCATTTTTAGAAAAATGCTTGCTTCAAGCAGCAATCCAATCTCTTCATTTCCATTTATGAACCAGATCACCACTTCCTCCATCAATGATGAAAATCAAAACCCTACCTTCTCTACAATATTAGAACAACAACAACAACACAGCCCACCTTCCTTACAATTCATTGATTGCTACAACTACAGCTACAACCCTTTTCTTGATGAAGAATTCATTTTGTTGTACTATCAAAAACAGCAATTTCATGGCACCAATCCTGCTCCTGATCAAGAAGTTGGGGTCGAATCTGAACGCGCCAATAATGAGGCCGAGAACATTACCAAAAAAGATCAGGAGATCAAGAAGATCACCAAAAACCCAATTTGTAGAACAAAAAGAAGCACGACCAAGGACAGACACAGCAAGATCTGCACCTCAAAAGGGCCAAGAGACAGGCGGATGAGGCTGTCCCTAGAAATCGCTAGAAGTTTCTTCGATCTACAAGACATGCTTGGATTTGACAAAGCAAGCAAGACCGTGGAGTGGCTTTTCACCAAATCCAGAAGTGCAATTAAGGAACTCAAGGAGAAGTATTTCGCCGGGCTGCCCAATTGTTGCAACGACGCCAAAAGTTGTGATTCCAAAAATAATAATTTATCGGTTTTTGAGGAAGTTCCCAGAGAGAAGAAGAGAAGAAGGAAACTGCGTATTGTGGATAAAGAATCGAGATGTAAGGCGAGGGCCAGAGCGAGGGAGAGGACGAGGGAGAAGCTGATTCTTCGTTTGGAGAAATCAAAACTTGATTTTGAACCAAACCCAATTCGGGTTTCCAATCACTGTGAGAATAAAGTGGTTCATCTTGCTGATTCTTCCATGGATATGAAAGCATCACCTGCAGGTAAGTTTAAGAGTTGGCTAGGGTTTTAGTAAAGTTGTTAGATTGGGTTCTTTCTGTGATATGGTTTTGGGTGCTTTTGTTGGTTGAATTTTGTATGAGTAATTACTGGTTTGGTTGGTGGGGTAATTTTCGAATTTGGTTTCGAGAAGGTATTAATTACCACACTTATTCAAATGAGTTAAACCGATAGAAATTCAAAGCTTTAAGATTGAAATTGATAAACCAAAGCTAAATTTAAATACCTAGGTAAAAAAATGAAATTTTCCCTGAAAACTATTCTACTGAACTTAAAATTCAAGACATCCGCATTATTCTATCCGAAGGAAAACTATTGGGATCAAAATGCTATTTCTGCCAAAGAGCAAAACCCTAGTTCAATTTCAATTTCTACTCATCAAGTAACGTAATTTTCTTCTTTTAGAATATTACATCATAAATATAGGATTTAAACTTACGATAAAGGGATAGGAATAATGCTCAAATATAGCTGAGGTTGACATTAGAGAAATCATGGACACCCTTCGGTTTTTTTTTTTTTTCCCTTTTTGGGGACCAAGAGACTATTTGCAATATGTGAGATACATACCTATAGAATATAAAAAAGTAGTCCAATTCAATTAAGAAAATCGATGCAATGTCATAATTACAAAATAAAGATGATCATTTAGATATCCAAGAGGAAGCCATGATTCCAACATCATCTCAAAGAATGGTTGTTTCTTTCAATCTAAACTTGATTATCGTAGGATAGATTATGTTATAAAACAAATGCGCAATGGTCACTTAGGTTTGTAAATATAAGATTATGTTATAAAACAAGATTACTTGCTACTATTTCAAGGTTTGCTCTTATCATATTATATATATGTAGAACCTATAGTATTTAGTTTTTTTTTTATTTTTTCACTCAATACACTCACAAACTTAGCTAGAAGAAGACTATTTTTTTTCCTTTTTCTTTTTATTGGAAGAAGTACAACAAGTGGGAGTGAGGATTCGAACTTACAACCTTTTAGTCGTAAGAGATAGTACCTTAGAAACACGAAGTAAGTAAATAAATTAATAGCATTGACATATACAAAATTGAAATCAAAAGGGAATAATGTACCTGTAATTTTCAGGTTTGAATGGCTGGAACTAGATGAAATTGATCATGAGCTGCCGAGCTGGTCTTCTATGGAGAATCAAGCAAGAAAATCAACGATACAAGATTCAAGGGATGAGGAAGCTTGATCGTTTGTAATTTCCGACAGAATCTAAGCTTTTGTTTAGTCTTAGATATATATGTTCTTTTCCTATGTCTCATTGCAATGAATAAATGTTCCTTAAAATTAGTGTAATACTCATAAATCAGCTGCCTTTTTATTTTGTTTTTCTTTGTAGTACTTGAATTTAATAATGGTGTGATCGGCTGCCTAGCCTAGCTTGTAATTTGTATACATTCATTCAGATTTCCATGATCTCTTGGTGTATATCATTTTCTTTTTGACTAAAGTAATCTTTGCCTAGACAGAGAATATTATTTCCTTTTTACCAAACGCCATTTTTTTTCTCTCAGTGAGACAGCTTGAATCTTGATCATTCATTAACTTTAAGCAGTAGCTTTTTGAACATTTTGAAAATTTTCATAACATTTTTATCTATGCTTTTTCAGGTTCAAAATTAATCATTAACAAACAATATACTGTTCATGTCAAGAATTTATTTCAAAAACTAAAGGCCTGTTTTGTTTGGAGATCCGTTTTTGAAAACTGTATTCGGATTCTGCGATCCAAACGGTAGAAATTCTGAAAACGAGATTTTTTTATATTTTCAGTGTTTTTTGATTCAGAATTTGAAATTTTTAAGATGTAGAATTACACATTAAAAATGATAAATATATTACTTCGAACTCATTTTATGTTGGTTAAAATTAAAACATGTAAAATATAAAGTATTATAAATTATGTAACCTCCTAAAATAATAATTATACAAAATTTATAAAAAAAATGTTAATAAATTAATTAATATAAGTTTATAGATCAAACTAAAATTTAATTTGTAACTGCCTAGGGTTTACAAATATATTACAAAACACACATTGAACATTTGTTCAAATTAAGATTCAATTACTAAATCTGCTACCAAACACATATCTGAAAATATGAAAACAATTTGTGGGAGAGGGAGCAATTTTAGTAGCGCCTACAGTTCACTTTGTTTCTTGTTTCTTAATTTCGTCATTCTTATATTCGTGCATAGTTATTATCTTTAATTTTATTAATAAAATGATGATATGATATGTTTATAAAAAAATATATATATTGACTCATTTGTGACAACTAGTTTTAAGAGATTTTGAAAAAAAAAAAAATTTTAGAGAGCTTAAAATGTTGAACTATTGCACACTTAAACGTATCTAAACAAATACATTATAGCCAAAGTAAAGATAGGAGATTTTGAACTCTAAATAGGTTTTTTTATAACATCTCATCTTTATTAATTTATCTTCTTGAAAAATTACTATAATAAAATGATCAAGATAAGGTTACTTTTTTCTTTTATATTACAAGATTTTATTTTTTAAAAATTAATATAGGAATTCCTTAGAATCCATCATTGACTCTATTTCTTATGTATAGAACAATAACATTATTGATCAATTGGGAATGAAAAGTTATAACTATTTACCAAAACTAGGCAAGTTTTATTCATGAAAATGATAAAGTTGTGATTTTTTTTAATTAAAGAAAAGTACAATTACTTCTCCGGTCATAACTCTAGCATAAGGGTTGGGTAGAAAACAAAGATATTTCTGTATTTTGACTTCTTTCCGGCCAAATCGAAACATAGTTCAACTGGTTAAGGTATCTATGTCCGACCAAAAAGTCGAGTTTGAACTTACAACCCACGTAATAAAAAAAAAAAATCTTTTCTTTCCTTCTTCTCTTATGGGTGCAGCCAAGATTTTGATTGATTTGGAGAAAAACATTTCAAATTTAATTTTCATTCATTAGTATGTTATTTTGTGTCTAAGATGGACAATATCACAACACATCAATACAACGGTGGGGATTAGAGCTCATTGACCAAAAAAGTTATCATAGGCTCATAGCAATGATGCCCTAAGTTTAAGGTATATACATTTCCTCGTATGCCTAACACGCAAGTGGTAATCCCCTACATGAAAATTTTCACATGTTGAGCAAAAATAGCGAGTCCATGTCATCTCACACGTGATTCATTATTAAGCTCTATTGAATAAAATGATGTATTAGAAGAGCTGACTTGGTACAAGAGACTTTCTCTTGTGAAACAGAGAGTAGTAGAATAATATTTTATTAGATGATGATATTTAAAATAATCATCTTTTAATTAAAAGATGAGGTTTGATAATCTTTTAGTAGAATAATATTTTATTAGATGATGATATTTAAAATAATCATCTTTTAATTAAAAGATGAGGTTTGATAATCTTTTATAAGGTGCAAATAAAAGTGGTGAGAGCCCTAAATTAAGTCAAATAATATGGTGTGCTTCAGCTCTACCAAACAAGCACTAAATGTCTCAAAAGAGAGTGAACAAATGAATTGTTGTCTCCAAAGAGGCATTGGGATTCCTTATTCAAGAAAATGATTGTTAAAGTTGTGACGACATATTTTCATATTTACAAGATTACAAGTTGCTTAAAGTCCAACAAGCAAATTCATGCAAACTTAGACCAGAAATGGATAAGTTTCATCTCGAACACATCAAAGATTTAACAACCAAATTCACATTAACAAACATGAAATAAAACTACCCAAATCAACATGAGCTATATATCAAAGCAGAATGAAGTACCTTTTATGTCACCAATGGTTCAAACAGCAACTTCAGGAGGAACCCATATCTTGTGCTAGACTGCCTCTCTTGTTTGTTGTCTTAGCTCCACTGTGGACTTCGCTATTTGAAGGGAAGGGAAGTTCAAAAAACAAAAGCACCAAGGAAAGGGAAGTGAAGTAATGAGTGGCTAACATAAAAAGGGAAAGGACTGACATTACAGAAATAGAATACATGGAGAGGAGAAAATGTTATGCAAAAATGACTGATGGGGGAGGCTAAAAAGTCAAGCACAGGGGCATGGCATTTGAAGTTGATGTGACACTTTTTGCAGACTCCCTTGTTTGCAACTTGCATGGCCACGTATTCTGGTGTGTGTTTTTAAAATCACTCTGAAAACGCAGATTTTTAATTGATTAAAGTGAGAGAGCTATTTATTACATCGAATCTAGAGAAGCTTTAGCCAAATATTAGACATTTGTAATGGTCTTACTCTAGTCAAATAGGTGTAAATGATCATATCAATTTCTTTCTACCAAAACTAGTACAAGAAAATTTGACTTATTTGGAGACGTACGTTAGTTTCTAGTGTCATTCTCTTGATAGAATAAACCAGATCACATGCCACAATTCACCATATGAGAGAGAAACATAGAGAGAGAAGAACAGGAAGAAAACGGATTGTTTAACCAGTAGAGTACTGACCTGAAAGCTTGGAAAAAATCCATTCATATGCTGCAGATACATTCTTGGTTACCACCAAACGTAGAATGTGAGGAAAAATGCACACGATCAGATCCTTGCCCCTATATCAGGACAATAAACACAAGCTGTGAAAGAGACTGTTCAGTAGAAAGTGAACATGAAAAGTGCTGCATTATTAGGCTCAAAAACACCATCCCATTGAGAAGAGATCTTACTTTTAAGGAGTTCTTTTTCCTCTGTCTCGGGCTTGATGACTCTTTGGCCGTACTGGAAGTGAACCGACAGAAGGCAGCTCTTTTATCATAATCAGGTTAGTTATTTTGGTGGATTAGATTTGGTTGCTAGTTGTTTATTTTATCACAGTTGCGTGATTCAGGGTCTGGCAGTATTGCCCAACTAAGAACAACATAATATCCCATTTCTAATGCAAAAATCTACTGTTTCACAGAAAAGTGAAGGAAGGAATCTGAACAGGAGACTGCCAGATTCTTAAAGAGTACGTTCGTCTTTAGGACACCACTGTTATCAACACGTCTCCCTGTTTCTCTTAGCTTCATTCACTGTTAACAGGGATGAAGAGTGAAGACATGCTGAAACCTGTGTCCATGGTAGGCAACTTTGGCCTTCATAGACAACGATGTAGGGGGAATTTTTTAACATAAAGAAATTGTGGTCGAACCGAGGGATATTAACCCAGATTTGGTACTGTCCATCTCCTCGATATCCCCTCCGCCGGCAATACTACACAGCAGACACAATTCATCAAGTGGAAAAATTGTACAAGCTGAAATATACACTGATGTTACACGAAGCATATTCAACGTTCTGAGAGAATTCTTGCACATTGGCCAGAAATGGCCCCAACATGTTCCAATAGGATTCTAAAAAACCTCAGATAAGCCCACATAAAATCTATATACATAAATGAAACCAACGGCTAGACCTAGAATTGGAAAAAGCAAGCACGCTAAAGTCGTCTGGCAGTAACAGAAGTTCCATCGTGCTTGCTTGAATTAGCAGCACTTCGTGACCAAGATGATGGCTTGAAGCCCCCTGTCAGTATGTTTGAAGCTGCAGATGCACAGATCTTCCTTCTCTTGGATTCTAGTTCTAATCGTTTCTTATCAGGCATGGAATATCCGGATGATCCATCAAATATCGAGGATGCATGAATCAATGCCCGTTTATCCCTTCTGTTCTTCTCAAACTTTGAAGAGAACTTCGTACAAGCTGCAGCTGCAGCATCTTCTTTAGCTGAGGGAAGCAATCGTATGCCGAGGCCCATCTTACGAGAAACTTTTTCTTCTTCAGCAACTCTCTTCTTTTGACTCTGAGAAGATGGATAAAAGTATGTTAGAACGATCCTTCAAGGTTGAAAGCAGAATGAAAAGAGATGGGAAACAGGGTAGTTACGACATACTCTAAGCTGAGCCCGAAGTGCTCTATTCCGAGTATAGTCATCCGCATGCCTAGAATCTGAGAGTCGCTGGAGGCGCACCAACACTGGCTCAGCCTCTTTCTTCTTCTGCATATCCTTTTCCTGGTGTTCAAGTCGATAAAATGGATCTGCAAGCTTACCCCTTTCTGTAAAAAAATATTAAAAAAGAGTTAAAATAACATTCTGAAAGATTAAACCACCAGCTTTCAATATCTATGATGAGACTCTCCTTCACAGACTCATTATGATTTCAGCTTGTAAATGTCAAGAACGGGAGATTTAACAATGAACCCAGATGAAAAGATAAATAAATTTAGCCACCCCGGAAAATAAATGTTAGTGATGTTAACAATCACCTTCATCTGCAGGGAGTTCAAAGGTTTCTGCATCCTCAACGTCGTATTCCTCAGTCTTCCGTTGTGCACCACTAATGATCACGTACTCACAATTTTTTGGATCTGTCTGAATAACAATCTCTTGTTTGCAGCATGCTGACTTCATAGAAAAACTCCATATCTGAAAGAGGCAAGAAGAGAAAATTAGTCATTCAGAAGCTGTTTGGGTTTTCTGCACAACAGTTTTTGAAAACTTTCTGTAGACTTGTCTATAAAAATTAAAAACTGATAACGTTCTTTCTAAATAAATGATACGACCACAAGAAATCACTATTCAACACAACTTGTATTTCGAGGGAAACAGTTCACCAAACAGAACAAAGTGATCCAAACATGTTGTTCTGTTTAAAAATTATACTTTATAAAAAACAAGGAAAACAAAAAACAGAAACAGTTTATAAACTTAATTTCCAATCAGCACATCATCGTGATTCCAAAACACTAGTCCAGTGGTCAGGGTAACAAGGTTAATAACTAAATATTTAATACCAAAACCTAGTTCTAGAATGAATCAGAAGTGCAAATGCTTAATAACATGGTACAACATTGTGTGTGTGCCAATTTCATGGTCATAGTCTCATAGCATAGTAAACCTTCAAATCAAGCACCAAAAGCCAAATATGTAATATTGGACATGTACAATACCTTAGTAGAATAATAATTTCCAACTTGCTTCTTCTCTGCATTAAACCTAACACCCTTTGCTATCATTGAGTTGCAGCCACCACACCATATATTGAAAGGCATCTCGAACCTAAAAAAAATAAACACATTTCAATTAGTTAGAAAATAGAATTGGTGAATTAAATGATCGACATGGAAACTTGCTCACTCCAAAAACAACGCAACCCCCTTTTTAAAAAGAGCACCTAGGCAAAACACCAAGCCATGAGAGGATGTATACTTTTTAAAAAATAAACACATTTCACTAAGATGCATGCTTTGGAGCCAAACACCACACTTTAGATTTTTTTAATTTAAAAAATGAATAAGACAAAATGCCTTTTATGGCACGAATGCCTATCTCCAAAGTTTAAATAAGTTTTTTACATTATCAAATGATATCAACAATCCCAGGCCAAATTCAGCCAATAATGTTGAGCCACTGAGAGGATGTATACTTCTTAGCTACATACCTTATTATCAAGATGCCTTGATCTATTTTCCTTGCTCTCTCTCTCAAAGCATGTTGACCATGAAATTTGTTCAAAGACCCCTGGGAAAAGGAAAATTCAGCGTGAGAAACTGAAAATCCGTGCATCTATGTTACGATATGGATATTTCCTTAGGGAAAGTTATTTTACTAATATGGTTGAATAAGAGAGATACCTGTTTTGGGGTCCATTCTGGTGGATAGTAAAAATTGTCTGCTCTAGCAGCTGCAAGTGAAGACTGAAAAATGCAGACAAAAAATGGCTTGTAAGCCTCAACAATTTGACATTTGTAGCCAATAATTTGTTTATATTTCATTGAAGGATAACCAATTGATACAGTAGAAAAAATCAACAAAATAATTATAAATATACATATATACATGATCAACTTTGCATACCAAGTTAATAGACTTCCAGGCTGAAGTTTCACATGAAACGCAATCTACCAAATTAATAAAGTAAAGGACAGAGATGATGCCTATCAATTTAAGAGTCAACTCTATTGAACAGCAAAGGAAGTCTGAGATACTCAACCATTCAAACAGAATCAGTACTGAAAGTTATCACTGCAAATTTGTGAAAACTATTTCCAAAAAAAATTCTGCAGTTCAGAACAAATTTCTCTCTTTTTTTTTTTTTAATAAGGGCATTTTGGTTAACCGTTTTTCTGGAAAGAAAAACATAACAAAAAAAGATCTTGCTTTCCTTTCACGATTCAAAGTGTACTGACAAATTGACAAGAAGTTGTTCTTTCTTCCAAAATTATGAGTTCCGGAAACATATACAGAACACGGGTTCATAAATAGCTTTTCAAGACAACCCTAATTATTTTGCATAATCCATGCAAGAACCATCTCCATCGAATCGTTTTCTGGTTAAATACAACAATAGATTCTACGATTTTCGACCTAAAACAATCATTAGGAGTAATAATAACTCCAATTACCAAATCGTTTGATTCGCCTACGAAAGAACGATATCCGATAATAAATTATTTCCTCAAATGTAACTGCTAAGCTATGTTAAGACAAGAAAAGACCTAATCGATTCTAAACCCTGATTTCTACGAACACATAGAATCAGATCATATACCAATAAACCCTAGAATGGAAAACGAAATTACATACCATTATGAATCGTCGTCGGCTCCTTCAACTTCCTCCCGTTTCAATCTCCCGGTGCGAATTTAAGGAAACAAGCAATCGTTTGGTCGACTGATTCGATTTAATTGGCGCTGTTGTGCTTATATAGTACTCTGTTTTTCTAATAAAATAAATAAATATGGGGTGTAGATTTCAACATCTCACATTAAGGAAGAAGGAACTATGATCATTTTTGTTCTTTTATTACAATAAATATGAGGATAAAAAATTTCCTTCGAGAGCATTAATTTTTTTCTTTTTTTTTTTTGGTGCAAGAGTTATAAAAATAGATATACACGTGAGTGCAGTAGTTTCAATTATACTACTTCGGACCAAGTTTTAGTTATATTCCCATAGTTTAAAAATTTTAATTTTAGTCTTTAACTTTTACAATGGTTAAAAACAATCCTTCCATTAGCTTTTTTAGTTAAAATAAAGATGAAAATCTAATGTATCTACGGGCTGGAAAAAAAAATCTCAATTACATGAAAAATTAATGTCACTCGGGATAACAATCTCGAGGGTATGATAAAATTGTTGGTTTCTTAAGGTGTGAAAAAAAGTGAAACTTAAAAGAAATTATTCACGTATACTTCGTGAATATTATTCTTATTTATTATCACAGTGGTTTTGTTTATTTAATTTATTAAATTTTAAGTTATTTTATTATTTTGTTAAAGTTACAAATACATGTATTAAAGTTATCTATGTAACATATGTAAAAATGTTATATATATGTTTAATTTTGAGCGAGATGTTACTTGTTTGTACAACTATATATAATTGTGGATTTCTTCATTTTGAGATATTCAAGCATATCTCAATTGAGTATTCTCCTCCTCTCATAATAATTCTCTCTTCTTTTTGAGTTATTGTTCTTGTTTGTATTGAGAGCAAGTGTCTAAGAACTTTGCCAGATCCAAGTAGTTGAGGTTGCAGTTCTACCGGAGTTAGTTGTTGTATCCTGTTGAGACGATCGTTGTAGTCTGCTAGCAACTTGTGCAGAACAAATAATTGTCTTCAGGTCAGCACTATTGAAACGTGTCTCGACTATTTTATCAAGTTTTGGTGTTCATCAAGTTCACAATTCACAATTCACATGTACAGCGTATATTTATTCAACAAAAATATTGTTCCTTGTCACGATAAAATGATTAGAGAGTAAATAAAATTTAAAGGAGGTAAGAAAACTATGTATTATGGATAGAATTCGGAGTCTCTTTTACGTATTTTCCGCGATTAATTAACAAAAATGGAGCTAACGAGAAAAAAATCTAAAGCAATCAAACTTAGGGACCATGACCTTAACCCAACAACTCACGATATTATAATCTTAACCCAACAAGTCTCAAAGTTGGCGGTTGAAATATTTATTAGACACCTTTGAAAATTTAACAAAGTATTAAACATGAAATTGATAAATTTTTTAGACATAATTTACAAAGACGTGATCCTAATTTGTCTTGGTTAGGTAGCCGAGCCGGAGCGGGAAGTGCGGAAATGGAGGTGATATAAAGCGAAATTCCTCCACCTGTTCCAGTCCAGTTACCTATCAGGACATTGCTCTATGGCTTCGTCTCTGCTATATTCCACTTCTTTCTTTGGAAACCCAATTCCCATTTCAATGCCAATTCGAACCGGAAGAGCAGCATCTACTCGCAGGAGAAGAGCTCTGCCAGTCCAGTCTTCCAAAGAGATTATGGACCAGAAACCAACCAGGCTGCTCACTTTTCTTGGCAAAGGCGGCTCGGGGAAGACCTCTTCAGCGGTATTCGCCGCTCAGGTCTGCGTGTGTTCTTTTTGGAGGGGGGCTTTTTAGATCTTCGCTTTTTCTTGACTATTTTTTGGCCAATGCTTTCTGATTTTTTTTGGGTTCTGGGATTTTGTGTGTTATTGCCTGCGGACACCTACTTCTGTGCTTGAGATTGAAATTGCGTTCTGCTATATTTTCTCTATGCTTGATTACTCGCATTCCTGATCTAAACACGAACTGTTTGAGTTTGTCCCGTTTTCCTGTTTGGCATGGGATTTTATGGACCACCAATCATAATATTTGTGCGGTGTCCTTCTGAATCTAATAGATGGATGCATCTTGGATCTTATCACAAATTTCTAGCTTACTTTTCGTTTTATGTATTTTCTTTTATTTGATGGGTCATCAGCACTTTGCATTGGCTGGACTGCGGACGTGTCTGGTGATACATAATCAAGACCCTACGTCTGAGTATCTTCTGGATTGTAAAATTGGGAATTCTCCCGTCGAATGCGGTCACAACCTCTCAGCTGTTAGGTTGGAAACCACTCAAGTGTGTTTTTCCGTTCACTTCTCTTTCAGTCATCATGGTTCTGCTTTGGATTTCAGACTTATTTTTGTCAATGATTACAGATGCTTCTTGAACCTCTCAAACAGCTAAGGCAAGCAGATTCTCGTCTTAACATGACACAAGGAGTTCTTGAAGGGGTGGGTATGTGAGCTTTAGAATATGGTGCATCATTAAATGCAAGGTTGCCTTTCAGTGTTTCTACTTTGGTGGATTTGCAATGTATCTTCTTGATGTTTTGATAGGTGGTTGGAGAAGAGCTTGGAGTACTTCCAGGAATGGATTCTGTCTTCTCGGTACTTCTACTTGAGAAATTTCTTGGGTTCTCAGAGAATATGGCCCAAAGAGACCGAAAAGCTAACTATGACATAGTAATATATGACGGTATCAGCACCGAGGAAACAATAAGGATCATGGGAGCGGCCAGTAAAGCGAGGTTCAAGATGCTCTCTCTCTCTCTCTCTCTCTCTCTCTCTCTCTCTCCCCCCTCTCCCTCTGCCCAAACGGGAAAAAATGTATCACTAAAAGCCTAAAAAAACTTTGGATAGGTTGTACCTAAAATATATGAGGAGCGCTGCTGAAAAAACCGATCTTGGGAGATTGGCTACTCCTTCAATTTTGAGGCTTGTTGATGAAGCCATGGGTATAAGCAGGCCAGGCTCCCATCTCAGTGGTAGAACCAGTACAGATATATGGGAGGCACTGGAACGCATGTTAGAGGTAAGCTTGGTCTGCACTCTTATGAAACAATATGAATGGAATCTAGTGAAATTGTTGATTGGTGGTTCTTGGTGCAGAGAGGGTCTTCTGCATTTTCAGAGCCAAGTAAATTTGGCTGCTTTATAGTGATGGATCCAACTAGTCCTGCCTCTGTTCAGTCTGCATTACGGTACTGGGGTTGCACTATTCAAGCTGGTGCACAAATTTCTGGTGCATTTGCTTTCATTTCTTCACACCTGGATGCAGAATCCGTTTCTAGGTTGAAGGAGAACTTTTCCCCTTTATCTTTGGCCTTTATGCCAAAGTTCTCAATTGGTTCCCCTGTAGATTGGAACACAGTTCTGCATGATGCATCAAGTAAAGGCCCGAGAGACCTTCTGTCTTCGTCAAAAAGCCATATCAGCAGTCTGCTATCACCTGTAAAATTCGATCCTGGAAACAGATCGGTTACACTTTTCATGCCAGGCTTCGAGAAGTCAGAAATCAAGCTTTACCAGGCACGTTCATTCTTTCTATTAGTCGGTTATTGCCCTAATCTGTAAATGCTCTTGAATGTTCTTCTATCCCTTTAAGGATTTCATAGAAAAGTTGCTCTAATGATCTGATATACATGTTCTTCATTTTTCCTAAAATAAGAAGAGAATATATCATGGGGGTAGGAATGACTTAGCTATTGAGTTAAAAAGTGGGGAGAACAAATGTCCTCCTTGGCTTCATTATAATGCTAAAGTATGCATTCGACTTAGTGAATGCTTAAGCATGCATTTTGTAGAGTTGACTTGGAAGATTCTCCACTCGTTGCAATTTTGTCTATATTCCAGTTTCCAACTGTCCGAGGCATGTTTCTCAGACACTAGATTTGTGACAGAATCGCAGTTTACCATCATGCGACTCATTAGTTCTTTTCTTTGGAAACTCAGTATAGGGGAGGGTCTGAGCTGTTGGTAGAAGCTGGAGATCAGAGGCGTGTCATTTCTCTGCCTAAAGAAATTCAAGGGAAGGTGGGTGGTGCCAAGTTCATGGACAGAAGTCTTGTGATCACAATGCGTTGACGTAATTAATCACAAAAATCCATTTGGCTCCCATTTCAGGTGCCACTTCGAAATTATTCATAGTAATTGTCAATTAACCAAAGATCCGTTAGAAGTCATTAAGACAAATGTACAATTTTTTAATCTACCAAAAGTCACAAGGTAATAGAATTTTGAGGGTCTGTTGGAATTGGAATGGTTCATCTCTCTCTCTCCATTTATGATTTTCGCTCTATTTCTGCAAGATCTTGAGCATTTCTCTTCAACATTCTGACACCATCAATGGTGATGGAAAAAATTCCTGGCTAGGGGGCTCAACTAGGGCGGAGAATTTGCAATTTGACCATGGTTGGTCTGAAATTAAGGATAAAGAGAGAACTGTATATTTCCAATTCTATATTTCTGATTCATTTCTATTTGACTGTCTATTCTTGAATTGAATTCAGTATTTTCTTGCTTTTTAATTCCATACTGTACAGCGCACAGAAGCTACCAGACTGAGTACATAATCTCTCGCATCTTTCCAGTAGATTGGTAAATATACAATGTCCAATGCGAATGATCTTCTGTAGTAGCATTGAGTTACATGTAGTATATGATTGCTGAAATTAAATTGGGATAATAATGAACTTGAAGAAAAAAATTCAGGCTTCTTGCTTATTGTCGTCTCCTATCTGTGTTGTTTGAACTCGGCTCCTCAATTCTTCAAAAGCCTTCATGCTCTCCGCATCGAAGCCTCCTGCAAACTGGAAACATATAGAATCCAATGTCAGCTTTGCAGGTTTCGTTTATCAGTTAGAACTTGATTGGAAACAAGATTATTCAACTTTGAAATGCAGTTGCTCGTCTGATGATGGCTTGTAACTATTGTTTTCTTTTTGAAGAATGAAGAGAGGCAATATGTACCTGATGAACACGGAAAGCAAACCGTACGCCTTGTAAGACCAAAAACTCTCTGTTCGGCTCCTTCTCCAGTTCGTTCATTGCATCAAGTTCTGATGCTACACGCTTCATGTATTTCCTTGCTAATTGTACAGAAGACAGCTTAATCTGCACTTGTTAAAGTATGATTACATTACACATTTTGAGACATTTATGGCCGCATATGAACATACTCCATATTTGCAAGTTCCAGTACTTTTGCTAACAAATGCTAACTATGCTCAAAATAAAAATTTCTTGATAACGAAAAGATTGAACTTTTCAAGCTATACCTTTCCAACAACTCCTGTGTCTGACAACCAATCAACTGGAATTCCAAACTCTCGATAACGCGAGATAGCCATGTCTCTTGTGCGTAGGAGTGCATAGACACTCTGCTCAACCCTGTCAAAAGACGAGAACAAAAACAATGGTTGGAGATGACAACATAATTAGAGACGGGGATATGTTCTCAATATTTGAAAATGGCAGCACACAGTAATGCATATGCATTAGTTCGAAAGCAGTGACACAGTAAATTTTTTGACAAATTTTTTGACAGTTGATCATATCAAAATTTACAAGAATCATGAGATGGTGATTGAACTACTTAACATGCCAAAGATGAGTATTTCCAAAATGGTTGACGTTCCATCACAAATTCTCTTCCAGGAACCGCGTCGTTGTAAGGGAATACTTACTTTTCAAGCAAGGAGTACATTTTCTTTAAAGCTGCTTCACATTGGAGTTTAGGGTCATCAACAAACGTGGTGATCCGCTTCTCCAACTTCATTAGGTCTTGATATTCAAAAGACGCCTCTCTCAATGCATCTGCTTTACCTTCTGGCCAATCAAAGTGCTTGAGCACTGCCCTTTCATCAACCTTAATCAAAGGCAGAAAAGAAAGAAACTAGTAAACATAAAGGTCTAAGGAACTGAGTTCAGACTTGAGGACTAGCTGGATTACAGCAATGCACAACAAAAACCACTTCTTTCAATTTATTTTCAACCTATTCAGAATGATAGCCATTAGCCAGTCCTTTTCTTCTGCATCAAAATTCAATGCATATTGGAGTTCAGTAAATAAAATGACCGTCTTACCAAGAATGATAGCTCTTCATCTAACCAATTAACGAAGGCCACAACATCCTCGATATTAGAGAATGTAGCTGCTCGTACTTCTGCCGCTAATGACATGACAAAATCACCTTGAGTTTCAACATCAGCTTTTACCTGGATTTAGTCAACAAAGTTACCAACTGGCAAATCACTATTAATGACAAAGATGAGAAGATAATGCAAAGGCAAAAGCAAAAGGATGATCTACTAACCGCTAAGAGGAATGATGATCTATTCTCAATCTCCCCAATCATGTTACTTCTGGCATCAGATACATTAGATGATGTAGAAGAAAGTAAAGGAGTATCCTTCTTTGCTTCTCGTTTCATCAATGTCTGATAGAATTCAACTAACTCAGGCGCTCTGTGAACCTTATCACCACCTACACCCTTAGACAAGCTTCCTGGAGGAGGAGGCGGTCGAGGTGGTCCACCAGCTGGAGGCAGTGGTGGGGCACCAGGAGGTGGAGGTGGTAGAGGTGGAGCAGCTGGTACTCCACCCTGAGGATTGGGATTTGTACTTACAGAAGCACCTGCAGATGGTTTTGGTGGTGGCTTAGGTGTCCGTGGAGATCGCTTCTCAATCTCTGCTAGCTTCATCCTACTGATAGCTGGAGACTCTGTTGTCTTATTTTCACCAGATGGATCAGCAGAATCACTAGATACAACTGGTTTCTCCTTTATTAGAGAAAGTTTTGGCGGCAAAACTGCAGGTTTCTCTCTCTCGGTCTTACCTTTAAATCCAGAGTTCAAATTTGAATTTGAAATATTGCCAAACCTTTCTGCTCTTGCCTGATCGGCCCTTTCCTTAATTTGCTTCTCCCTTGCTAATGCCAACTTATGTCGGTCTTTGTATGCTGGATATTTCTCATCTAACACTCCATCAACAGATTTAGACATCAGTTGGAATGATGTTGCCACTGAATTCAAGGAGTCACTAGAAGGTGTTTGTGTTCTGATATTAGGGAGATTCGGAGTGCCCGGAGAGTCGGGAGTTTCCTGTTCCATCGTACCAAAGGTGGTGATTGCGACACTATCACTAGCATTTCTGAGCATCAACATTTCTAATGGACCCCTTTGCTTCTGACTCATGCTCATCCTGCTTGGAGAACCCCCAGAAAAGGATCTGGCTGGTGATGAAACAACACTAGAATCATCTTTGCTTTTACCACCCCATTTCTTCAACTTCTGGAGCAAGCTGGGTTTCTTACTGAGACTACTATATCTACTAAAGGAACTATCTATTGAAGCATTGTCAAAATCCTCACTTCCAGGAGAAGATGGTTGGGAGAAGTTGCTTTCAAGATCTGTGTCCCCTTGTCCACGTTCTGATCCAGCATACTCCAACATGAGCTGCTTAGCCTTCTCCTGAGATTTTGGGCTTAAATTCTTGTTGAGGTCACGAGCTGATACTTTTCCAGTAGGAGCCTGGTAATTGCGGAGTTCATACCTTAAGCATGCATTGACCCATCGAAGGTACACTAATTCTTCAACTTCACTGAACCTGTTCATCTGAAGTCCTTCAACTTGCTTCATTAAGTCCTCATTTGCATGCCTTAAATTGTTGACTTCCTCTCGAGTCTGGGATACCAATTCACTCTGCAACAGAGTAAGACGTAGTAAGAAAAATGGGCATTCAGGTACACAGATAACTTTTATCAAACATCAATTACTTCCCCGTTTGGCCATATTGAAACCTCTTTATGCATACTTGTGGAACAACTTTTGCCAATAAAGAATCAAATCTTTTGAGATCAAACTAGAAGCATTTTCTATTATCTGGTTTTTGCAGATTTACTGTACATTCTGAATGTACATAGCACAGAATCATACAGGTTAAAGGCAACATTAAGAACACTACTTCTTGAGGCTATCCTGTTTCCTAGTTTTATAACATGAAACTCCAATCTATATGGACAAATATCTAAAGTCTAAAGAACATAAAAGCAAAACAAAATTTATTTCTTCTTATTAGTATTTCAGTTTCATCATACTCTGCTTCTATGACAAGGTCAGACTTATGCTGCTTGATGTTCCAAGTTTGCACTAACTACCATCTCACACAACGGACTCATTCTAAACAGAGGAATATTGATTACTCATTTGGTATCTTACTCCTCTAGCTGAATATTATCTATGCATTTAGCGTATCTACTATTTTTGGAATGAAACATGCAATGCCATTTTGAAAGATAGTTTTTTTGCTTCTTAGAAAAAAAAAAATTCAGTGACAACATGCATGGGTTGATAACTTAAGTTATTCTTACTCCAAACTCAAGGCCCTGCAAGTAGAACTTTTAATTTTATACAAACCTTAGACTTTAACAGCCTCCGACCAAAGAACATAAAAATGTTGAGTCTGAAAACTATTTTTCAGAATAACTCCCAAACGTCACCTAACTTGTTATCTTTCCCCCATCCTTTTGGTTAAATTAAAAAATTCAGAAGAAAGAAGAAATAAAAAATGGAAAAAGAAGGGTCGGAAGAGCTATTTTGGATTCTTACTTCTGTCATATTGGACAGAGTCGTGATTTTATTTTCAGCAGCATTCCGTTTAATAGTCAGCTCCCGCTTTTCAATTTGGAGTTCTTTGTTTTTCCGCTTAAGTTCCACAACTTCAACTTCCAATTCCTTCACAGCTTTCAACTTCTTTTCTATTTCAGCATCTTTCCTTATAGTTTCCTGTTCCTTTGCCTGCAGACCAGAAACTTGTTGCTTGAGTAATAATAGCTGGCCTTTTGTTTGGTTAGCATCAAGCTGAATCTGCCTCTGCAGCTCTTTGATCTTATTCCTTGCCAATTCCAACTCCTTCTTCACAGTAGTATCTTGTGCAATCTCTTCTTGAAGCTTCTTCCTCTCAGCCTGCAAAGAGTTAATGGTAATATTAAGCATATCAATCTCTACTGCCTTGATCTTGAGCTGCCTCTGTAACTCTGTAATGTCAGATTCCTGTTCTTTCAATCCATAGTATTCGAGCAATTCACCTTCAAGCTTTACTTCCCTCTCCTCCAATTCCTTTACTAAGTTACGCAATCGCTCCAGTTCACTCGCATTGTTTGCCATCTCGGTTTCATATACTCTATCTTTCTCAGCCTTACTGTTATCAATTTCAGGTAATGGAAATTCAATCTCTCCAGAGAGAAGGTCTTCAAATTCAGGTAAAATATCTTCTTCATTTTCAGTTGTGTATCCAGGAACTTGATCAAATACGCTGCTGATTAACTTGACTTCTTCTTCTTCCTCCTCTTCCTCCCCCTAAAATAAAAGAAAGCTCTTTCAATAAAGGAGATGGTTGCAAGATAAGAAATCATGAAGAGTCTAGAAAGTTATCAGTATCTACTTACATAATCATCTTTGAAGCTATGGTTAGAATGTTTAACCTCCTCCTTCTCTTCACCATTTTCTAAGAAACAAAAAGAATAGTTTCAATACATCAGACAACATGATAAAACCTATCCAACAATATAAATGAGACAAAAGCTGGAGCAAAAATCACCAAAGGGAAAATCAATTTTGCATCAAACTGATAGATAACAGAAGGTAAACACGAGGTCTATGATAAAATTATCAAAGAAGAGTAAAACGCTGAACAACTGTAGTTCAAATATATGAATACCTGCGAGCTTGTTGATGGAGGCAACGGAGCTCGAGTTTTTAACATTGAGTTGCCTTACTGCATAGGCTGCAACTGAAGCAGCAACCAGGAGCCCTAACCTGAGTACCATCAAGCAAATACTGACACAAAGATTTTAACTTCCCAGTTGAGATAACCGAATTCTGCACAACTATATTGTCCATTACTCCCCACCCCCATGACTAACATTTCAAACCATTGGAGCCCCTTAGAATGCAGAACAAACCGAAAGAAGTGGAGCGAGAAACCAGGTTGGTCTTTTCAATTAATACGCAAGTTCAATGGCCATGTTTCTATCAAGCATTCTAAGACCCATCACCCTTATCATCTTCTCAAGTTTATGGATCCTACAAAAAGCAGACTTGCTTGGTAAGCAGAAGAGTTTTCAACGACTAGAAGTTCAAGACAAATTCTGATGCTAAGAGCCACGGTAACCACCAATAACAAGTGGCCAACCTTTCTCCTTTAGGATTGCGTCTCATGAATTTGTGGGCATTTAACAAGTTACACCACTCGTTCAAAGGATTGAGCACACAGTAATAACACCAAAAAACAAAGCTGAAAAAGACCATGAAATTTGAAGAGAACAGCCGGCCGAAGACCTCCCTTTCTTATCCGTGTTATGTCTATATCTGTCAACCAAAAATGAAGAGAGATTAAGCCGTGGAGAGTTAATTTGTGAGCAAAGAAGAAAACAAACTCTTACTTGTCTCAATAAATACAAATGTTCTTGCTGGCTGCTGTCTACCTAATTGGTGGGTGTTTGTCCAACTCTTAACTTTTGACAGTTTCCAGCCTTATCAATAAACCATAGTCATCAAATAGTCTTGTGGGTCTCTTAAACTATCCTGCTTAGAGTTAGCAATAGAAATCGCGAAGTTGCTGCCCCCAAGAAAAAACCAAAAAAGATAATAAAATAAAAACAGAATTAGAAGAGAAAAAGGGAGACAATATGTGGATTAGGATTATAACTTAAAAGTTCGATTTGTTTACATGACGTTGATAACTTGATATGCACCAGCAGCAGCACCCATCATCGAGAGGAAATTTTGCAAAGGGTGGGTCGGTGGGCCAAGCCTTAAATTACATTAAGAAAATGCTGCTTTTAAGCTCACCACAGAACGAGTGTGAAAGAAGATGGACACGATGCGTAAAAAAGGGTAGGTTTGGCGAGCACGAGTGGAGGCTGAAAAGACTAGTGTTGCTCAATGGACCGAAGCATATGGAACCATGTTGTCAAGCGCACAACAAAATAAGCCAAACTATGCCTGAGTTACCTTTAAAACCCACATGCCATCCTTTTTGGCATGTCTCTCGGGCTGCTTGTTTTCTTCTGGCGACCCCCTATCGTCTTTGAAAACACTAGTGTGTTCGCTGTAATCTTTTAGGCTTTAGCCCATAATGCTTAAAAAGATTATGTGAAGTAAAATCTCTCTCAGATTGACAAGAAATGAAGTGGGCTGAAATCTAAACATAAAAAACTAGCTTGAAGTTTGAAACCCCATTCTCGCATATTGTTAAACCAAAAATACTACTTTAACCAATGGGAAGTGATCTTTTTGCCCATCAATTAGGCTTGAACTTGAACGAGAGATTTGGAAACGATGGAGTTGATAAGTAGGGAATATTATTGAACCAAGATTTTAAATTGCGAAAAGTTGCTTTCTAGGTCATAAATAAGTGAATTCGGAGGCCACAATAGCAGTAGCAGCCAATATGTCATCCAAGGCGCTGTGTTTTGGTGGAGGCAATTGATCCCCGTGGAAGTGTAGCTGGCATTGGCAGCGACTGTGAGAACCACGTATATTTCCCCATCAATTTCAGCTTTAATCACTAGAAAAATGCATGAGATTGCAGCCTGAAGAGCTACAATTAAAGATTTAGAAAAAGAAAGGCTTTCAAATGAGTGAAAATGGCCACGCGGCTTGACCGTACACCTGGTGCAGTTGATTTAAGCGAGTATCACCAAAATTTCTATATTCTAAGTTCAAATGAAGTTTACACCGGATGATCAGGATCAGCTTGATCATAATCAAATCAATCCTCAATCTGAATTGAATTATAATCAAATCTGCTGTGACAGCAAGATACTGTAATGAAGCCTCTGATCCGAATTGCATTGTACTTGCAAAATTACAACGTGAACTCTTCTTGCTGTCGATATTTATGAATAAACTTGGGGACAACTCTACGTAGTATGGGCAAAATTCAAGCTTGATCGTCCCATCTCCACCTTCGTCCAACCTCCTCGAGAACCTTAGCACGAGCTTGACTTTTCCTTGCTTCATCTTCTACCCAAGATCTGCATTCAGAATAAATGATTCACTCAAAGACTACATTACAGCATTTTAAGTCACAAATAATTACTTTTAGCAAGATCAATATCTACATTAAATAGAGAACATAAATGAAGAAAATTTGCCATTATTTTGGCTTCTCTAATGGTATTGTACGAGTAAAACGATTAAAAAATTGTTCAAGTAGTATACAAAAACTATGACACAGGATTTTTTTCCATTTTTTCCTCTTGACATAATGATAGAGCATAGAGGAGGATCCTCTTGCAACATTATTCCATAGCAAATAATACTTATCTCATGAAAAAATAACAAAGCCAATAAAAAAATATTTGGACAAACGCAAAAAATAAGAATTTCAGAAGTTAAAAAGAAAGAAGATAGGAGGACATGACAGACTAAAAGTTAATTACCTTATAATACGGAGAGCTTCTTTCTCAGCTTCAAGCACAGATTTCGTATCAAGCATTCCCTCAAGCTGGTTCTGTAAATCAGCACGCATATTATATAGCTCACTCTGCTCTGCCCCACATACAGATCTCTCAATAGCAAGATTTGCTGTCATCCCATCAACTTCTTCCTTAAGGCTCAGAAGAAGTTGCCTCTGACAATCTATAGATGCCTTCTGCTTTAAATACTCGGAAAATAACTTCTCCTGAATTATCTTTTCGTCTCCCAAATCAGTAACCGCAGCAAGATAAAGCTCCTCCACCTTGACAAGGCGTTCTTTCTCCTCAATTAGCTTCTCATCCCAAGACCTTTGTATGTCTCCTCTTTCTACTAATTCCAACTTGATAACTTCTATCTCAGCTTTTCTTGCAGAAATCTCTGATTCCAGTCTTGACAATTCAGCAGAGGTTGCTTCTGTCATCCTGCCGCTTACCAATGCGACTGCTGCTTGTGCTTTTGTTGAAGGTTTGTTTGGTTGAAATCGTTTGATTTGACCTGTAAACAGCAGATATAGACTTTTAAAGGCAATATTAAATGCACAGGTACCTAAGGTTTTTTTTCCCATCTATGTACATTTGCATATTGAGACATTACAAAAAAACCACGAACTTAATTTACTTATAACTTCTTAAGTAGACATAAAATATATGGGATAGAAGGAATACCGAAAACTTTTCTGAGAATGCTTCTATCCCCAGCTAAAATATCCACGAACAGTTGTGGCGATGCTTCTGAACTGATCTCCTTCAAGTCCATAAAACCCACCTTTGTACTTGATATCTGGACTGTAGAAAAAGTCGAAATGCTATCACACTCTGATAATCATTGGTTTTTATGTATTTTTCAAGAGGACAAATTGCACGTGAATTGAACAACAATGGACTATACAAGAAATTCTGTACCCGTTCTAGTATTCCAGGAACAAACTCATAATCTAATTGGGCTTTCCAGTCTATCAAAGCCTGGCGAGAGACAAACCTGCAGCATAGATACAATCATAAATGGAGTTCAGTCAAATAGATCCAAAATTTATGCACATATTGTACCTCTCGGGAAAAAAACAAATTTTCTCTCGATCTCCCAAGCCATCATTTGCATAGTTTGGTGATAGCTTGCTGGGTATGATACCAGCTTCTGCTAAAGCTGAAAAAAAATCCAGGACTAAAATTCATATGGTGCAACAATCAACTAAACACTTTCTCTAAAACAAGAAAATAAGAAGAAAAAACCTCACCTTGAATGGACTCAAAATCTGAGTCTTCAAAACTTATATCATCAAAAGCAGCAATTGTTGATCCAGAAAGGGAGACTGATGGAATAATATGGTGTTTTGGATTCCTATATGGAGAAAGGGGGAAAAAAGGTTTAAAGAGTGATTATGTGGTTTCAGAAAAGAACTTTATCAATTTCTACCTTTCCAGTGATGAATACATACGAACTAGCCATCTTGCATATTCCCTTCTAGTACACAACTCCCCAGCATCAATATCATCTTCAATAACCTGCATGCATATCCTAATCTTTGAGACCTAAAATCTTCTTTCTTACTGGACTACAATGAAAGGCTCAATAATATGGGAACAACGCACAACCAGCCACCAGAATATTAAAATGACAATTTTAGGGGATCTGTATTCTGGAATTGGCTTCATTAAGAAAGAGGATGGATTTGAGACATTTATGCTTTATAAGAATCAATGTCATAAGTCCATTCCGTAATTGTCCATTGTGGGCATTATTCATACATATAATTTTTAGAAATTCCCAGAAGTATTCAGTTTATACTTACTCCAAAAAGAGGTGAGTAATTTTAGCTACATGCAGGCAGTACAACACATAGTTGGAAGCAAAATTTGAAGTTCCAAAAGATTCATGACGTGGTCCAACTCCAACTTAAGAGTTTTCCCACATTTGATCAAACTTGTGTTTCTTACAAGCCTACAAAATCTTAATTTAGTCCTGTGCAGACCTTCAGTTTCTTCAAAATCGATAGAGCTTCATCTTGAGCAGAATCCACAGGAACAGTGATTATAACTCGTTCAAGCTTATTTCCAGAATCTGAAGTGCATAAAAGTAAAGGGGAAAGTATGATTATCTTGGTCTTATGTAATTGAGATATCTAAACCTAAACCACACAACTGCACAAGGACAAGATATGTTGCCATAATCATCAACAGTCAACACAAACACATATCTTTTGACAGAACAGTCTAACATCAACAGCTTTCATGAACAATCATTCTTTAGATGCTAAACTAATCATAAGAATTATCAATGAAAATATCAAGAGAATTATGATGCTACTAAGTTACTTGAAAATAGTTATATTTTATTGCAACAAATAAAAAGTTAATTCTCAGCCATTCCAATCCAAACTCTTAACTTCCCGTGATCTTAATGCTAGTTAGTAGAAAGGGGTAAAAATGAGAAGTTGCAAGTATTATGTGCACCATGCTGAATCCCTTCATATCATGGGCTAACCTACTAGGCTACTAAAAAAATACCATATCCTGTGATGTGACAACCACATTCCTTACAGAGCAACAGATGAGTTGGAAAAAGCAACACATATAAAGTAAGCTCAGTTTCACTCTCACGTCGAAAAACCAGAGCACATAAACCATGGGGATGGGAGATTTGCATCTCACAATGCACTCCTGTAACCTCAAATGGACAACACTACTTTTTACTTTTTAATTACATCACGCAACCAAACAGTACCATCATGCAAGACACATTTTCTTGCATAAGGTGAACTAGTATAACAAAGGTCCAATGTAGGTAAGCTATTGCTTATGATCAGCTTACACTTGATCATAAGATTAAGAATTTTAAAAAGAAAAGATGTTGAATTGAATACCTGATGTAACAGCATTAGTTCTAGAATCAGATATAGACTCAGCACCAGATTCAGTCGGTAACTCGTCATCTATTAAACAATAGTCAACTGTGTTGCCTTGATCACCTTCAGGTTCCGTACGACTAAATATCCCGTCTAATGATCTCACGGGACTACGCCACTGAAACTTAAACCCTGTAAAACGAAGCAAACTCTGGTAAAGTAGACAATTATTTCAATTTTCCACGTGCAATTATTAGGTATTAACTAAATCCCATTACTTGGGTAATGATTAAATCTTGCCAACTTGAAATTCAAGAGAAGTGAAAGAAAAATTCAGCCTACAGCTACAAAAATTTAACCACAATAGTCATCAGGAGATATTCAATTCGGTGAAAACAGCATAAAGATATCCAACTGACCTCTTCTCGATAGTGAAATGTGAGCAATGGCCGCAAACAGAACAACAAGCGAGGTCCCAACCACCCCTATTACGAAACGAGGCAGACCTGCGAAACACAATATTCAGATACCCAAGGGCAATTTGAAATCTTTATTGAACTGTGATTGATAGGGAAGTAAAAGGGACCTCGTTTCGCGGCTTTTGCGTCGGTAGTTGGTGAGTTGATCAATATCCAGCCACCATAGGCGTCGTTGTTGGGCTGGTCGGGATGAAACCAGGAGGAGAGCTCGAGGTCTCTGTCGGTAAATGACGCGGTAAGACGAAATGTAGAGTTGGTGGGCCTGAGATGGCCGAGGAACAGATGCGACTTGGGGGAAATTACATTCCGACGCCGTGAAATCGAAGGAGACTTCGTGAGGAGTAGAGAGAATGTAGATGGTAAAGAAGAAGAGCACATTACTGAGGAGAATTAGGGCTTTTCGGAAGTTCTTGCTGGGCAGTATGATCGAAGACTGTAGAATCCCAAGGCAGAGTCTTGACTCTTGAGTTAGCGTTTGCTTGGAAAGATGAGGTATCAGCAGTGGACCGCAGTGGACCGCAGTGGAACCGGCAGTGTGTGAAAACTTTTTTTTTTTTTTTTATAACGGAATTTTCATTTTTGTTTATTTACTTTTTTTTATATATAATTTAACAAATCAATTTATTGGCAAATAATAAATTAATAGTTAATTAATACGACCCTTTTTTCATTTAAAAAAAACATATTTTTTAGACATCTCCATCATAATTACACACCAATTGGTGCTAGCCATACACACTTCACGTGAAATCAACTTATGTAGAGCACATAAAAAAATACACTCAAATTCTTAAGGGCAATTTAAATTTCTTAAAGAAAATAAATTTAAATCGAAAAAACTATAGCTTTTTCCTACCCTAACACCATCTAAAATAAAGAAATTAAAAAAACATCTAAAATAACTATTTGACACTCTCAACTCGATATAAATTCCTCATCATCACAACTTTAATGTTTAAAAAAATCAACATTAGGAATTGATAGAAAAAGAAAAGAAGCTTTAAACGGGGAAACCTTGAACTTTTATTAAAATTCAGATTTGGTTATTAAACTACAACGTTGTTTATGCACGTGACAAGAAAACACAAATTACAAAATTTATAAACATTTTGGTTTTAACCGATGGCATTTCATTCATTATAAAAATAATCCAATTTGTCCACTAGTTTTTTTTATTTTTATTTTTATTTTTTAATTGATTGCAAACTCAGTTACTTTCATAGTTAAATTACTTTTAAACAAATAAATTACATCACATTTTGCAAGCCAACTTTAGAAGCCCAAATTTCTCTCCAAATTACAAGCCCTTGAATAATCAGATGGAAATCTTTTCTCATACACTACACACCATGCACACACACACACACACACACAGAATAAGGAAATTCTGAAGCCTGCAAAAGACAAGCCTTATGGCTTATACACATGAGGAAAAACAATGGCAGAAGATGCAGTACTCGTATTAAGAAGGCAAGAGCTTGGAATTAGAGAAAAATGGATGTTTAGAGGGAAGGGAAGGAGGATATTTGGGAGATATAGCAGTGAGAATCACAATTCCACTAAGCAAAGCCAATGCCAGTCCCAGACTGTTGACAACCATAGCTTCAGGACCTTTCTTAGGGACATTTCTCTTAGTTTGCAACAATGTCAACTTCTCAAGAAGCCCTGTTTCTGCCGTTGCCACTGCCAATCCATAACTGTATAACCCAACAAACACATGCCATGGCAGCACTCTTTCTCTTGTTCCCCTCACCTCCCTCCAATGCCAGAAGCTCAGAAAACCCATCATCCACTGCATTCAAACACCACATGTTTAGTACATTACCATCTGAATCCTCCCGTTTCGTTCGGTTGTTCGATTTGGATGTTTTGTTATAACAAGTTTGAAAATCTTATAACAGATGAGAAGTTTAATTGGTTGTGGTTTTCATTTTCAATGGTATTAACCAGTTTCAGAGATTCAGCATTCAATATCTTAGAGAACTACCATAATAAATGAGGGGCAGAGGACCCCAGCCAAGTTTGAATGTAAGAAACCAGTAATAAATTACTCCTCCACATGGCCTTCAAGATGGGCAAGGGGCTTCCTAATTCTGAACAAGAATTCAAGGCTTGTTTGTGATACTTCAATATCACTGTTCTTTGAAAGTGATTGTGTGGATTATTCAATATGATCTATTGATTGAAGCAATTGTCAATATCAGTAGCAGATCTCAACAAGAATTCACGTGGGATTCCAAACTTTTCACTTGCATGAGACATCTGAAAAGGTAAAAAACAAGAGGAAAAAAAAAAGTAGAAAGGTTCTGCAACATTACATTCTAAAACAAATCTTTATGATTCTCATTTGCAATCAACAAATCTTAATTTTGGAGGTGGTCAACTATTGGATCAAGCAAGAAAGAGAAAGTAAAGTTAGAATTTGGCGGAAGGGGTGGAAGTGAAAACCTGAGCTCCGAACAAAGTGACAGCAAGTAAACCCATCCAAGAATGCAGGCTGTGGAAATTAGCCAAAAAGCTACGATCCCTATGAAATTTGGTCCAAATTCCGATAATCCCAGAAGCCAAAGCCAGCCCTTGAAGACTCAGATGAACAGATTTCCTCAAATTCCTCGAACCCGGCAGCCAACTATGGACCAAAATTGCTGAAAATCGCAACAAGAAAAAACACAAACACTTGATGCCCATTTGACAGATCAACTTATTGCATCAACATTTTGATTTCTACCCACCTTCACCGCTGAGGAGAATGAGACCAATTACCATGAACAAAGGATGCAGAACCTGCAAAGCAGACCCAAGCTCATTCTCAGAAATATCGAGCTTAAATCGGTACATAAATTAATTAGGTCCCTAAAAATAAGAAGAAAAACAAAGGGTAAAGTACAGTACAGTACAGTACATCGAAGATATGATCTTCCCGGGAGGGGGAGCGATGATGGAAGCTGGAACTGAAAGCAAGAGCCCAAACGAAGACCAGAACGGCGACCAGCAGAGCAAAGATTCTGGCAAAGATGAGTAATGGGACCAGTGAAGCCAATGTTGCGGCCATGGGGACGGAGGGGGCGCCCTTCAGCTCCACAAGATCGCGGCTCCGCCGCCAGTACAGTCGCTGATTCGCCGTAGAAAGTGGAAACGACCGATAATGAAATCCGTGGGTCCACTTTAATTTAAGGTATGCTGCTGCTGTTGAGTGCACGGCGTTGCACTTGGAAAACTTATCTGGGGCACTGTTCGCGGAGCCAATTATAGAGAAAATTTCAAATTTTTTCCATCTGGGACTTTACAAAATTGGATCGATTTAAAGTTTCGATCATCGATTTTAAGAAAATCCGTTTGGAAATCTTGTACATGAGGCACATTAAATTTCAAAGCTTGTACCGATAAAATTTGAGCTTTGACTAGAATGGAAACTTCAAGGGTAAAATAAAAATTTCCCAGCCCATCGTGCTATTTAACGAATTGTCAGCAATGGATTGAAAGAGATTCAGGATAGCGATAGTCAAACAACCTCGACAAAATAGTTTAATTAGTGTTGATTCTAGTTTCCACCTAACTAATAGATCCGAGCTAACAAGGACGAGCATCGAGGTGTGATCCTAATGAAACCTACATTAGAGAACAGAGACTCCAACGTCCAAATAAGTGTGTGTATACTCGAGCTGTATCAAGTCGTTATAGGAGGAATTGCGTACCTGGATAGCGGGGTGGAGTGTCTGTTTTATAGGCCAGCACGGGAGACAAAGTCATTGGAGTCGTTCCGACCGGTGGTTACAACTGTCGGACCCCTAGATCGTTGGTCGAATTACTCAGGTCGATGTAGGTGCTAACACGTGTCCATTTTAATTTTGACCACCAACAATTAGTAATAATGATTCCTTAACAAATTATAAATTTTTTTTTCTCAGTTGAATAAGAGTTGAAATTCCATCCAACATAACAAATTATAAAGGTTGTTTGGTTAATAATTAGAAAACAGAAATTTGAAAACCGCATTCAATGAAAATTAAAGTTGAGCTATAAACTACCTATTTAGTTTAATCTAAACTTATATTAATTAATTTTTTGTTATATTTAATTTAATCTAAACTTATATGAATTAATTTTTTGTTAGTACATGTACGGTGGGAATCGAACTTATATTAATTAATTTATTTAGATTTTTTTATAAATTTTGTATGATTATTATTTTACAAATTATATAATTTAGAATACATTATATTTTACATATTTTAATTTTAACAAACATAAAATGAGTTTATAATATAAAGTAATATATTAATCAAAGTTTTAATCATTTTTAATGTAATTCTACATCTTAAAAATTTTAAATTCTAAATCTAAAAACACTGAAAACATCCAAAAATCGTTTTTAGAATTAAAAATCGTTTTCAAAATTTCTATTGTTTTGATCGAATCCGAAAACATAAGTTACCTGAATTATAGGTTGGAAATTCTAAGTTCTACACTATTAATGGGAGATTGCAAAATGTATAAAAAAATTTACCTTTCAATCCTTACAAATATCAAATTTTTTCATCAAATAACCCTCACTTCCCTTCTGAGTCCTCCCCCCTCATCGCAACAAGAAACCATATATGAACCAAAAAAATAAAATTCATGACTTTTGATCAAAACGCTGGCTACATTAATTGTTTGTTTGGATTAATTGAAAACTTATCACCCTATAATGAAATTTTACAATATAACAATACGACACAGAAGTTAATAAAACATAAAATGATAAATAATGATTTCACCAGTTAGGCTTCAGTAGCCATTAGCAAAGTATGGAATAAGACGCAAGTTCACAGTTAATTACATAAGGGGGAAAAAATACCAAGGATGACTTGAAGAACTAGTAACTCCTTTAGTACATTTTATGGGTCGACAGAGAGCCTACAACCAACTGCTCCTTAAAACTACGTCTGCACCTTTATAACAAAGAAAAAACACAAAAGAGAGCCTCTGAAATAAGAAGAGAACCCAATATTCTACTATTTATTTTCTGCACAAACAGTATAAAATGCAAAAAGAAAGTAATAGCAGATCCTTGTGATATTTAGCTGCTCTCATCAGTCTATAACATTCAGGCATAATCAGGGCCACCTAAGGATTGTAATTATTCATATACCGCCCCCGACCCCTTCCACCGTGGCCATACCCCCTCCCATAATAACCACCGCCACGACGACCACCACGCCCATAGGCATAACCACCACGACCACCTCGGTATCTTGCAAAATCTCCAAATGTCTGCACCCACAAACATCCAAACACAGTTTAAAAAAACAGATCTAAAACAAACAAATTGACAAACTCAAATAACATACCTCAGTGTCCAACTTGATTTGCTCAAAGTATCCAGGCCTCCTTCCATTCTGCGCTTCGTTATCAGCAGTGTTGCACGAGAGAGTATCAAAGAAGTCATCCTTATTATATACAGGCTGCAGACATGAAGTGAGTCAGTTTTATGCATATGTGGGCAGGGAAACAAACATTTCTTTAAGATACAAATTAATATTGCTTTAGAAGTGTGTGGCATAGCAAATAAGACCTTGATCTCTAACTTTGACGATTCACCTTCATCTTCATCGTGGACTTCATCTTCGTCACTGTACTTTTCATCCCCACCGTTGTACTTTGGATGAGATTTGGTATTCTTACCAAGATGACCCCAGACTTCATCCTTGTTAAATTTCTCATTCATTGCCATGAAGTCAAAATCTTCTGTGAATTTTTCTGTTTGATGCGAGTTCTGCACAAATAAAATCACAGAATATTGTGTTCTTTAGGAATAGGCAAATAATCTCATGCGTGCAGATTAAATCCATTCAATCTGTCTAACGAACAAAAAATTCAATTGACAATACATTAACATGCTTGTCTCACTAATCAAACTAAGGTAATTTTAATTTGGCCCCGTTATTAACCTCATAAAATTTTTAAATCTTATTTGGTTTCAAATTTGCATAAAGTTGCACCAAATCAAGCCTATACATTGAGGATAACTGGAGGCGCAGACAAGAAAACACGATACATACCACATATCTTTTCAGTGCTTAATCTAGTTCGATGCACCAAATCTTCAGGGATCATGACCCTCACCACATAATTGACAGCAGAGGTATTCCTACTATTTATAATAGACCTAATTTAAGAAGTACACATTACCCCATATCGTCTTCCTCTACCGCGTCCCCTGTAGATGTGCCGAGTTTGTGAAGTTGGACCATTTGGCTGGAAAAAATAAAAGTTGTTAGAATGTCAGAATCCTTCGTAGCATGAAAAATACATTAGGCAGATAAATACAGTGATCTTTGTACATGAGTCAATGACAAATATGCACATCACTCAATCTTCTAGTCATAAGCAATGGTAATCAGCTTTTAATGAGATCATAACTGCCTCAGGAACAGATAATGCATATTTACACTTTTTTTGAACAAATGCATATTTACACTTGATATCTGAAAGGCCTGAATGTCAGAGCACCAAAAATACAAGGCCTGATTATATATTCTTTAACCAAGGACATTTGACTATATTGTCACCGTACGTGCACCCCAAAAGTTAAACAAGGTTTCATGAGTATGCTTAGGCCACAGAGAAAGATAGAGAGAGTACCTTCTGAACAGCTCGTGAAGATACGGGTAATGGTAATAATGGTGGCTGAGTATCTGCCRGAACTGGAACAGTTTGTTCGGCTGCTAATGAGGAAGATGCTTGAATTACTTCCACGTCTTTTTGGGCTGTTTGCACAGACAGAGATGAAGAAACTGCAGTAGTTTGCAACAACTGGCCCGGAGTCACAAGGGTAGGTGCTGGTGCACTTGTGAGAACAGAATTTGATGTTCCAACGACAGAGGATGTAGATTGGGATACAGTTTGATAAGATAATGCTGGACCAGAAATTGCAGTAGCTTTGTTAGTAGTTGGAGGCACAACAGGATTGACATCTGAACTYGTAGTCAAAGGAGAGAGCGAWGGCAAATTGGTATTTAAGGGAGYTTGAGGAAGGGCAGAATTTACTGTCTTGTTGGMCATTGAGCTTGATGAAATCTCAGAGKTCTGKGGAACRGACAGGATAGATGGAAGTGTTGAAGATACARTTATTGGTGGYATTGCTGTGGAKGATAAACTAGGAGTATTAGGATTGGCAGAGAACAAAGAAGATGAAACTTCTAAAAGATTTGGTGCWCCAGTAGGTAAAGAAGCAGTGGGTAAAGAAGCATTAAGATTAGCATATTGCACTGGTTGCTGCAAAGAAGACGGCAMTGACAGCCCAGGCGGTGGACGAAGTAATGATTGTTGATGCATGTGAGGAAGTCCATTAKGGGGGCCATAATATCCTTGCCAGTACATTGGCAAAGCAAGTCCACCACCACTTGGATTTGGAGGTGGTGGCGAAGGAGAAGCTCCCCAAGACCCTACATTTCCTCCAGGTTGATATAAAGGCAGCCCACCCTGGAAATTAGATCCAGGAATTCCCATTGGCATGGGTTGAGAATTAATGTCTGGCAAAGGCCCACTAACAGGAGGCAAGCTTGAAGAAGTCGCTACTGGGCGAGGATAGTGAGACTGCATGAGAATTTCACCCAGTACATTGTAAGCTCACCTACGCTTTAGGCATAATAAATTGTGGTGAGGGGTGTATTTTATTTTACCTGAATAATAGCTGGATCATTGTTTATCAAGGGTGTAGTCTGAACAGGTGGAGAAGATTTCACCTGTAGGTCCTGCAAAAAGAGCAAACGAGATAAAACTAGTTACAAGCATAGTCTCAGTGCATGCCAATCCTCACAGGTTARGAAAAAAGTACATGATAATAAGTATAAACATAATGGTGAGTTAAATAAAAGCCCCATCACATAAAGAAACTATAGGTCAGCAAACGAAGGTGTCCTATCTTAGATTGCAACATCATGAAGACATGACTTATCTGTACTACAGCCTACAGGATTATTATAAATACGAAAGCTCACAGTGTACTATTGTCAAAAAAAAGTGCAATGTAACATAAAAAATAAAATAAGAAAAGAGTGATATTATTAAATCGTCAAATATAATTTTAAAATCAATAAATAAAATATATATATATATATATATCTCTTTCTTTCTTCTTCTTCCTTTTTTTTATTTATTTTAAAAAAACAGGATTTCATTAATGTAGTGTTAGTGTTACAAAAGGGAAATAAAAAATCTTTGGAAAGCATTGAATAATATAATTAGATATAGAAGCTATGACATAGAATGTCAAGTATGCTATAATGTCCATTGGTATCCACACCAAGGATACATTAATGTCATATAGTAATCCTAAAACTTAGCATACTGCCACTACCACGCTATAGTTAATATTTATATCAATGTTACCTTGATATCACTTCCACGGAACAAGATGTATTCAAAAACTTTGTCACTTGGTGGGACTTGTTGCCCATCCTTCTTTCTCCCTTCTGTTCCAAAAGACCGTACTGAAGAGAGAAATATAAGGGTATATTAGCATCAAGTTCCCTGGCACCTTGAAAATCGTTTAATATGCATCACTATGTCATCATGTTAAAAATAATGAGAGTTTAAGTAACTGTTTTTCACCCTAATGCAAACAATAGCATCTTAATACAGGAGGAAACGGGGTCACTAATTGATAAATTTTCTGATAAGACCCAATCTTATTTAAGATAAAAGAGCAAACCAAGGGAGATTCGAGAGCTCCGCAACTCTCCCAAATACTCAAAATATGAGCCTTACAAGATATATCCCAAAAATCCCCTCCCCTCCAATATTCCTACTCTATAAAGCACCCCAAAAACATGCCTCACGACACTCTCTCCCTAACTAACAATATTTTTTGGGACCCACAAATCATATGCTCTCAGTTACTACACGGTCCCCTCTTTTCCTCTCTTACGAGTGTAAAACTTTGTGACTGGAGGCCTATCATTTTCATGTCAAAACCTATCCGAAACACAACCTATCACTTGACAATTATGGGCAAAGACTCGGTGCCAATATATCATACAATACCTACCTTAACCCACTAAGCCGTTCACTATGATGCCCAATGTAATTTTCCAAACAGCATGTCATCAAATTTCTGTGTGAAAGTACTCCTAAGGATAGTTTGGGAATAGTATTAGTATATTAGTCGGAGACATTATAGTAATTAGTTAGGGGTGAGTTGGTTATAAATAGAGGAAGTAGGCAGAGGAAGGGACAATTTTTGGAAATATTCAAAGGTGGAGAACTTAGTATAGTTTTTGGGAGAGAGATAGTCCTCTCGAAAGGCTATTGATATAGTAATTATCTTTTTGATATTGCAATATAGTTATCTAGTTTCGTTTAGTATACTTGGGATCCTAACATTCTGATGTTATTTTTAAGCACCAAAATATTTCATTCATTCAATTTAGCAAACATCCAATTATTCTCTCTTTTTCTTTTTCTTTTTTTTTCTTCTTATTTTCATGGGGATGGGTGGGAGGGAGCTAATACCAACATTTTTTCTTTTCAGATAAGAGAAATATAATACCAATATAAGACGAATGACACAATGTTCAAGATCTCCAGGAGCCACTAAGATAAACCTATAATGCCTCTCGAGCCAAATTTCCGAAAAAGATAGCTAGAAAAACATTTTCTCAAAATACATTTGCCTACATTCCTAGAGGGATGTCCATATAACAATTTCTCCATACAACCCAAAATGTTGTTGGACAACCACTAGAAAATACCAAAAGTTCCAAAGGGAGCTTCTGTCAAGTAAATCCAAATGTGCATTGTGCCAACAAATGATATTAACCCCCTACAAACTTTCACACATTTCACAACAATTAAGGGGGAGAGAGAGAGAACCATAAAAGGGTGTCTTTTTCTATACCCAATCAGTCGAGTTGACTCCTTCCAGAATCTAGAACAAGAGAGAGCCATAATATGTAGAGTCATACTTAGCAGCTGATTAGCTAGACTATAATTCCACTAACTTTTTCCCCATTGCTAACCTCACAAGAAAATAAGAGTTCCATCTTTGATTTACATTATGCCAAAATACTACAGGTACTTCTTTGCTGAGGTTTCTTTAATCCTGGGTGAATCAGGCTCTTGTATCTCTCCATAATGTGCTGGTGCCTTTGACTCTTTCCACTGCAAACCTCCACACCGCACCAATTTGGAAGTCAAGGCAATGTTCTTCCACTTCAAGTTCCCTATTCCAAATCCCCCTTCCTCTTGCAAGCTAGTGATTTTAGCCAGATTTACAAGGTGGCTACGTCCTTCGTGATATTCATCAATCCAAATAGAAATTTTCTTCATCATTTGTCCAGCTACTTAATGACTTTGCAATTAAAAGAGCATAATAAACAAAGGAGAAAACTAGCTAGGCAAGATTGATGAAAGTTGATACAACTCCTAACAAAAATGTCACACGTTCCATTTTTCCATTCTACTTTTAAGTTATGGCCCTTTCCCTGACCAGATCCTGAAAAGTAAGGATGGGGGATTGAGTCAGAAGGACATTGCCAAATAAGAAAGATGCAAAACTCCCCAAGTATAACCTCACATATATGCACTAAAGCAAGATGGAACCATCAACGTGTTAAACATGGTTAAGCTGAACAAGGTACTTCCGCACTGAGGCTCCCTTAACCAAACCCCCATTTGTAGTAGATGGCTTAGAACATCAACAATAATCAGAAAAAGAGGACAACTCCTAGTCTTAGATATCTTGAAAATTTGATCCTACCTCTAGCCCTCAAGGTTTTCCTGACTCAAAATTTAGTCTGAGAGATACAGTTCAGGATTTTTTTTTTTTTTTTACATAAGAGACTACAGTTCGGAATTTAATTATACCATTTCGGCTCAAACTCCTTTCTGTACCAAACTGCAGGATGAAAGTTCGAGCCCACTATGTCATATGCCTAGTATAAATCCATTTATGAAACTGATAGGATGGAAATCCTCCAAACTAAGAACTATCAATCTAAAATCATCTTAAAACTGGTCTGTTGGCTACTACTGTTTTTACCCTATTCCCAAAAAACAACCATGCACCATAAGCAAGAAATGAACCGCATCTATGATAAGTAATTCCACGATTCCATCATTAAGTTCTCAAAAACCCTGCAATGTGAAGCGTTAGATATCTTCCACTTCAAAAACCTTGAATCATTTGGCAATCCCAGGTTACAAACCAAGTTTCAGCAACCAACGAGTAGAAAAAATGGAATATCAGGACAATACACGACATTACACAGTAAACCCGGATAGGAGAAAGAGCAAACAAACGCGATACTACCAGCGGCAAACTCAACAGGCAATTCAGTTTCACAATCGAAACTAAACAAACCGATATCACTTCGTAGTTTCTCCCGACTAATAGAGTGAAAAGAATAAAATTTCACACTCAGAAACTAAACCTGAGAATTATAGGGAGCTCTACCGATCTAACAAAAGACATCAGGCTCGGTAAAGTAAGAGAGACTGGATCCAACGAAAAACAAATCAAACCCCCGCCCGCACAAGAAAGAAAATGGAAAAGATTAGAAGCTGTAAAGGGGGTGTTACCATTTCTGAGTCCGATACTGGACTCTTCGGTGTTGATGTTGTAAAGAACGCCTTCGTATCTAATCTCACTCTTGGAAGTTAAGCTTATCAAGCTTCCTATGTAGGAATCGGCCGCGGAACTGGATCTGGAACCACTCTCGGAAGCCATGACCTCCGACCCAGAAACAAATCTGAAGGAAAAAGAGAGTAGGGTTTTGGTTGGAGATCGGGAATGTGGGGTTCTGTTGTCAGCCGAAAGCGGTAGGAGATTGAAGGAAAGTGGTTCTGCGCCTGCGGTGCGTTTTATGCAGAACCATTCATTCGCGCCTACAGAAAACTATCTAAGAAAGAAACTGCTCCGATAACGCAATTTCAGTTCAACCAGCGGCGCGCGAGTTCTTGTTTCGTTTCGCTCATTTGGGCTTACGCTTACCAATATTTTTACTCTGATCATCTGAACATTATAATTATTTACAATAAATTAAATTGATTTTAAATACTTCAGGTTTCCATATTAATCATCGCGATAATTATTTTATGATAATGAAACTCGACTAATCCGTTACTTCTTTTTCTCTGTTTGATTAATAAATCTACTCACTTAACTAGTTCACCATTCAAATCAATCGTATTGAAAATCAAAGAAGAATGAGAATCATCGAGATGGGGATTCATTTGCTACATAAATTATTTCATAATGAGATGGTCCAATTTGCAAAGTTATTGATATATGTTTGGGGAAGAAAATACCCTGGACACGTGGAGGACCCTTATTGGTGCTCCAAGATGACTCATGAGTCATGCCCAGCTCGAACCGCCAAGATCACCACCACTCGCGTTGACAGATGCTAAGTATGAGGGCCGAGGTGAACCTGGCCGAGGTCCGACCTACCGGGAAGCTCGGTGGGGGCCGATNAGTCCGATACTGGACTCTTCGGTGTTGATGTTGTAAAGAACGCCTTCGTATCTAATCTCACTCTTGGAAGTTAAGCTTATCAAGCTTCCTATGTATGAATCGGCCGCTGAACTTGATCTGGAACCACTCTCGGAAGCCATAACCTCCGACCGAGAAACAAATCTGAAGGAAAGAGAGAGTAGGGTTTTGGTTAGGGAACCTGAGATCGGGAATGTGGGGTTCTGTTGTCAGCCGAAAATGGTTCTGCGCCTGCGGTGCGTTTTATGTAGAACCATTCGTTCGCGCCTACGAAAACCATCTAAGGCCATCTTTAGTTTTGAATGGAAATTTTCGGGAGTCAATTTTTTCATTATCTTGATTGTACAATTTTGGTTACCTACTTTTTTACTTATTAATATTATGGTGTAAAAATGTTTATTTTTATCGATATATTTTTTAATTTGGTTCATTTTTAATTTATATGTATTTAAAAATATTCATTTTAGTTTTTATACTTTTCAAAAGTGATCATTTTAATTCATTTCTTACAAAATTTTACATATAATATGAACTTTTTAATATAAAATAATGTTTACATTTTAAGAAATATATTGATTTAAGTTGTTAAAATTGTGATAGAAAATAATGAGATTAAGAACAAAATTAAAGGACCAAAATATACATTTTGAAAATTCAGGGACTAAAATCAACCAAAATTGAAAGTACAGGATCAAAACAAACATTTTGAAACTACAAACGTGCTAAAATAATATTTTAACCTATAATTAAATAGTAGTAGCAACCTCAAACTTAGTAACTTTATTCTGTAAATCTCATTTATCTCCAACACACTCATCAATTCCATTATTATTCTTTATCACGTGGACTCACACATTTATTATCATTATTTTGCTACTTTTATCATTTATTAATGAGACTCATAACTCTTTTAGTAAACTATTTTATAGTTTGATTATTTATTTTTTGTTACCGTGCTAATTATTTTTAAGAGAAATTTAAACAAAATTTTATTAGTTGATGTAAATTTATTATAAATTTATATTTGATTTTTTAATCTTACTTATTATTAATTAATATCGATAACATTTTTAAAATATAATTCATTGTTATTAAATAATATTTGATATTAATATAACAAAATTTAATAATATTTGATATTAAATTACAATTGTTCTAATAAGAACCTATTTGAGTTTATGTGATTTTATTTTAATTATTCATTATTTAATAATATTAAATAAAATTAATAAAAAAAGTTTACTATCAATAATATAGTAAAAAATAAAATAAATTTACTACTAGTATAATTAAAAAAAATCATTGGCACAATAATATATTCGTTATTAGTAATCAAGAGAATGATATAAAAGTAATTTTGATATATCTAACTCCAATTCTGATTCTAGACAGTTTTAATAAATATTTGTATTTTTCCTTCAATTTCAGCCAAATATGGACTAAAATTGCTGAAAATCGCAACAAGAAATAACACATACACTTGTGCCCATTTCACAGATCAACTTATTGCATCAACATTTTGATTTCTACCCACCTTCACCGCTGAGGAGAATGACCAATTTAAATGAACAAAGGAAGCAGACCCAAACTCAATATTCTAAGAAAAATCAGAGCTCAGAAAGGGTTGGATTTTGACAAAATACACGGGTCTCCAAATACAAGAGATTCTGTGTAATAGGAATCACATAGAGAGAAATTCGTGTGATTGTAACAATTTTTTACATTGTAAATTTTTCTTTGCGGATCGTGATTTTTTCTCCAGTTTTAAAATTTTTCACATTAATTAGTGTTAATTTATTTTATTACTTTCTTTAAAAATTTCAATTATTTTTTTGCTTATTTTTACGGTAGGAGTAGAAGATTTTTTCCCATCAGAAAGTACATTAATTGATCGTTTGCTTGGATTAATTGAAAATTTATTTCCCTAAAATGAACTTTTACAATATAACNGCAGAAAGACGATTCACTGAACGATGGCGACTTGGGAGAATCGTCTTTCACCTCGGACGTTTTGGAAGCACCAATCCCTCCGAAGTTCAAAGCTCCTACCGTGAAGCCTTATGATGGGTCGAAGGACCCCAAGGACTATGTTGAGGTCTTTGAAGGCCTCATGGACTTCCACGCGGCATCAGACGCAATCAAATGCCGCGCCTTTCAGATCGCGCTTACTGGCAGCGCGCGATTGTGGTATCGGAGACTGCCAGCCAGGTCGATCTCGACCTACTCTCAGCTGAGAAGGGAGTTCCTCGCCCAGTTCTCTTCTCGGCAATATGGCAAAAAGACAGAGACTCATCTCGCCACCATCAGGCAGAAGGAGGGTGGGACACTGCGGGAATATGTCACCAGATTCCAGGAGGAGCAGTTGAAGGTTGCACACTGCTCCGATGACTCGGCCATGTGCTATTTCCTCACCGGTCTAGCCGACGAAGCCCTCACGGTGAAACTTGGGGAGAAGGCCCCGACTACCTTCGCCGAGGTGCTTCAGAAGGCGAAGAAAGTCATCGATGGACAGGAGCTCCTCCGAACCAAAACCGGCCGACCGGATCGAAAGATCGGCCGGGGTAGAAGTGGAAAAGATGTAGAAAGGGCAGATCCCAAGTCCAAGGACAAGGGATCCTTTTCCAGCGGCCGAGCTGAGTATCGAAGGGCGGAGAGCGGACCTACCAAGAGCCGACCTTACGAACGCTTCACCCCGACCACGATTCCAATTTCCGAGATCCTAACGAACATCGAGGAGTCTGGAATGGAAAAACTACTCAAGCGTCCTGAGAAACTTCGGGGAGCCCCGGAGAGGCGCAGCAAGGACAAGTATTGCCGCTTCCATCGGGAGCACGGCCACAACACGTCGGACTGCTGGGAGTTRAAGCGCCAAATTGAGGATCTAATTCAAGATGGCTACTTCAAGAAGTTTGTGGGAAAGCCCAGGACCAGCTCAGCAGAGAAAAAGGAAGAGCGAAAGCGTTCAAGGACGCCACCCCGGCGCACCGACCGACCTGCGGTCATCAATACCATTTTTGGAGGGCCAAGCGGAGGTCAGTCCGGACATAAAAGAAAGGAGTTAGCCCGTGCAGCCAGGCGCGAGGTTTGCATCATCAGGGAGCAGGGGCCGACCTGCCCAATCACCTTCGACGGTGCCGACTCGGAGGAGGTCCACCTGCCCCACAATGATGCACGTGTGATTGCTCCCTTGATTGATCATGTGGTGGTCAGGAGAGTGCTGGTAGACGGGGGCGCATCCGCCAACATCCTGTCCTTA